GGAGACGCGGAAGGTATTAAACTGATCAGAACAATACTAAACACACCACAAATAAGGCTTCTCTCCTGTATGGCTCCTCAAATGATGCTTAAGATTAGAAGCGGCTGAAAAGCATTTCTCACACTCCGAACAAAAATATATTTTTTTAACATTCTCTCCACTTTGAACGAAATGACGCTTGGGAAGAGATTAACATAATTAAACACAGGCAGTAAAAATACAGTTTTTAGCCATACACTGTAACTTTAAAACTACACATCCCATCTTCATAATTACATATTTGAAATCAGCACACTTAAAACATAAACATAACCAAAAATCAGCCAAATCCATCCAGGGGTTAAAAGTTAGCTGGAGGTCCCTTTATGACCGACCGCAAGCACATTTTCCTGCCCAAAACAGTTCCATAGATTTGGGCTGTGAGGTCGGTCTATTTCAGGCTGAAAAAACGACTAAGTCCCATCGCGAATGGGACTAAGTCTCTGCAGCTGAAATAAGGCTGAAAAAAACGGCTGAAAAAAAGACTAAGTCCCATCACGAATGGGACTTAGTCTCTGCAGCTGAAATAATTTCCCATTTACTGAACCAAGTGGGAAATAGCCAGGCAGGCACAAAGGGTTTGCACCAGGTCTGGGGACACAGGGGACACCGTCTTAAAGGGGCCGTGTCCCCAACAAGTCTGGGGACACGGCCTTAAAGGGGCAGTGTCCCAATCTTCCTGATGTCCCAAAAAAGGTGTTTAAAGGGCCAGCACCAGTCACATAAAGAGTCCATAAGCCCCAATATGCCCACCGACAGTCTTAAAGGGCCATACACACCAAATAAAAGTGCATACATTTTCACAATCTCCCAGGGGCCATAGTCATGCGGAGGAGGCTGGCAAATAGGCTTCTCCACAACCCATGGCAATTTGCCATTTAAAGGGCCCGTTACAAATAGCAGTTTGTAACAAGGTGTCAATCCATATCTGCCAAGTGACCCGATGTAGGGGACCAGTCCCTATTCTGCTCTGTGTCAGTGTGTATCAGGGAACCTTAGGACAGGTGTCAATCCATATCTGCCAAGTGACCCGATGTAGGGGGAACAGTCCCTATTCTGCTCTGTGTCAGTGTGTATCAGGGATCCTTAGGACAGGTGTCAATCCATATCTGCCAAGTGACCCTATGTAGGGGGACCAGTCTCTATTCTGCTCTGTGTCCGTGTGCATCAGGGGCTCTGAGGACAGGTGTCAATCCATATGTCAAGGTGTCAATATGTCATATGTCAGGTGTCAATCCATATTGATTGTGATTTAGGAATGTTAGGTGATTTCTGCCCTTTATGGATTAAAACCAGACTCTGTATCAACTGTGTAATTTTCCATGGGAGTTTTGCCATGGATCCCCCTCCGGCATGCCACAGTCCAGGTGTTAGTCCCCTTGAAACAACTTTTCCATCCCTATTGTGGCCAGAAAGAGTCCCTGTGTGTTTTAAAATTCGCCTCCCCATTGAAGTCAATGGCGTTTCGGCCGGTTCGCCGGTTCGCGAACATTTGCGGAAGTTCGCGTTCGCCGTTCGCGAACCGAAAATTTCGGGTTCGCGACATCACTAATCTTGATAAAGAATGATCAACAATTAAATGTGTCGTTGAGCAGAGCATTCCACAATCAACTTGCTATAATTCCTAAATCATGCAGTACAATTAGTTGTGATATAGATCAAATTTATCCAGTGTTTTCACACATCGGCCTGGCACCCTTTGTTAATATACATCATAAACTGGACATTGTAGAGACTGGATAAGTCTGATCAATATTGCAAGCAGCAGCACAACTAATCACTCTGCATATTTGATCAAATTATAGCTGTGTCAATATACTGTATATCAGTATCATAGTGTAGATCAACTGTAGTTCGAAACAAGAATTTGGTTCTATATATCTCGAACATGAATTTGGTTTTATAGCATTTGAACTACAATTGATAGAGATAGTGCAGAAATATAACTGTCAGGCCACTGCTCAGCATAAAATATTTAGAACTCATTGAAAACATTATAGATTACTCTGATGAAACAATCTCTGCTTTTGATCCTATGCCACCTAGTGGATACACAGCATGGCAGGAAAGAGAGGAACTATATTCACATGGCAGAGCTGACCTTAAAGAATGTTAGGTTATTTGAACATTCTTTTCTCTGCTATGAAAAAGTTAATTATGGTTGAGGAAATTTGAGAACTTAAGACACACACGAAAAAACAGTGTTATATGTTTGGATTGTAAAGATGATGTTCAC